AAAAAATCATTGATTTTGGTGTTTTCATATGCCGAATTTATCCAATTATCGCTATCCCATTCCTTTATTTTTTTGGTTTCCAATAGCCTTACACATTTGGATGCCCCTACACATGGTAAAACAGACCTTGATGGGAAAACAAATTGATTGTGCCGATAAACAAGCTTGAAAATATTTGCTGTTACTTCATGGACGTTTTTTTCAAAATACAAGGTCTTTAACAAAAAATAACGTATACTTATTGTCGTCGGATTAACACCAAATTTTCACAGCTTTAAGGTGACAATGAGAGGAACTTGAATGTGTCCAGACAAACTATTTCATCGATTATTTACCAACGAGTTGTGGTTTGAGTTGGGGGCATTGTGACTAAAACAGTAATTGAAATTCAGCACACTATTTTTTAAAACGCGTTGCTTGAATAAAACTGACCAGACACATTCAATTTACCAGACTATTGAACAACTAGAAAAAGTGAAAAAAATACTTCTTATCGCCAGTGTAAATGCGTAATTATTTTTTTTACAGAAAAAGTAATTTTTCACCTTTGATTGAGTAACGCGTCGTAGAATGCAGATACGGGCATGCAAAATACATTTGTGAAATGCTTGAAATCTGGCGATTCTAAAAATATATACTTTCCCGGGTCTATTTGTAGTCATTTAGTCACAATTAGAAGATGAAAACAAGTATGCAAATAATAGTCTCGCTACCTTAAATAAGCAGTACTGCAAATTTGGTGGGTTTTATGTGGTGTTTTGCAGCCATGTCGCGAGTTGTGTCTCGTCACAATATACGTGTGTTACGTAACTTATTTTGTAAGGACACTGAACCGTAAAAATCGCACCTGAATCGCGCATATATCATAGTAAACTACAAGCCAAAAAAAGTCGTAGTATTACATTTATTATTGACTGACTGATATACACTACACTGTCTGCGTATTCGTTAAGTTTATTACTGCCCAGTGTTGGATGCTTTATTATTATTATCATAACTGATTAAAAGTAAAGATGCGATAACAGATAAACAACCAATAAAATGGTTCACCAAAAGTATTATATCATTTACAAACTACACTGGGTGTAATTCACTGAGTGGGATATTTATCGAAACTTTAAAATAGCTGCATGACAATATTTGGCTCCAGTACAAAAGGTAAAATAATCTTATTTTAGCTAAAGTGTCAATATTAAAGATATGCCAAACACCCACCCCTTGAAACAATTTTTCAAGACAAACCCATCCTGTGAAAGAAACTTTTAGGGAAAACCCACCTCTTTAGATGGTTTAAACAGCATGGTAAAATGAACTTCTCAATGCCATATACGCACACTACATGTAAATCGACGCAACTTTGATTCCGGAAACGACCTCTTGGTCCAGGAAAATATCAAAAAGGGCCCTTTGCCTGTTTAAAACACCTTAGGCGCCTCGCATACCCGTATGTTTCTACTGGTGATCCCCGGGAGATTGTATCGATCTTCAAAATGCAATCGGGCGTAAGGCGCTAATAAGTTGACACTATTTTATATATCAAAGTTGCCGCTATTAATAAGATACTACACGAATAAACCTTGCAACGCTAAAATACAGGTGCAAATTTGTGTAACCGCTTTGTGTATATATAATTGCTGTAAGCTAGTTCCAGGGCCAATTTATTTTAACCACGGTTGCAAATAGAGTGTTTCATGTGCTGTGTCACATTTGTACATGGTTTTTGATGGTTTAAAGGCCTGTCTGCACCTTTTAATTAGCTTTAAAATGAAGCTTGTTTAAGGTATTAAGAATACCCCCCCCCCGACGATGTATGCCATTAGGTGGCGCTCGTATGTATATGTCATGAAATTGCGTGGTTATTACTTAATTTTACCGCAGAGCAATAAATGATCACGAAGAAAGTTTTTTAAGTATAACGTTTTGCAAGAAGTGCATCCTTGGAATTACCTTTAAAATGAATTTTGTTTAATATAATAGGAATAACCACCCAACAGGCGGAGTATACTACTTGGCGGCGCACTCGTATAGCAAATGTACTGGAGTCTATTTTTTAGCGATGCGTAGAAACAGACGGGGACAGTTGGGGGTAATCAAGGCTATAGGGGGATCACCACTGACATCTACCTTCACAATTAGAAACAAGACACTGAAACTTGACCAACTTGAAAAGATTCAGATCACATCAGTGTAGGTAAAAAAGTCCCGCCCCTCGGAGGGTACAACTAAAGCGTCGTGTTGATGTGTGGTTTAAAGGTTAATCTCAAAGTGATCAATTAATAACAACAACACTGTAAATCTGAAAAAGTAATATTGAATTAGTATAACCTAATTAAATATTAATTAAATTAAAAAGGTCTATCAAGAATTCATGAAAACATTTTACTGTAATCACCGCAAAACAAAAAACAAGCGTCACGAACGAAACCGCCTGTCATTACATGCGTGAAAGTACAGTTACCCACACTGCAATTGTTAATACACATGTTTAAACGAGACATAAAGTATGGTGGCTCAACACTGCAACTTGTCAAGGAATAAAACGCGTGAATTAATGCGAATCTCGATTTGATTGCTAAGAATTTAGCAGTTGTATGAAAAAGAAAAAATACACTATTTCAAGTTGGGCTAGTGTTAACAACAAGAAGACAACAAATTGAAGCTAGCTATTTTTTGTCTCTTTGTTATAGTTGGCAGCAAAATATATGAAACAATGAAATTTGACAAGATACATCACTGATTTGAATTCTAAGGGGTGACTCCCTTACTAAAACCTTAGTTACACACATAATTCAATACGGCAATTGCTCTCTCACCAGAAATTTGTTCCCGACTTTATTACTGTTACTATATGGCTCATCTCCATAACGAAGATGTTTCCAGAAATCATTTTTGTTGAAATCTACATTCACAACATTGTCACTTGATTACAAATGCGCTTTGAAGAAAAATGTAACGTGTGTAATCTTTACTTATATTTAGTTATGAACCAAACATAATAATCATAAAACATCATACAAACGGTTCTTTTTTAATTGAAGGGTCCAGTATTACCTCGCATTGAACGTATTATGTACTGACACGCACTGTGCTAGTACGGACACGCTGCAATTCAGAATGTGTGGCGGTGTGGCGTGTGGCGGAATTAGCAAAACAGGACTACGTGGCGATTAATGACTATAAATATGATTCATTTAAACATTGTTGATATATACACTCACCATAATTGAGTGCAGTCTTGTCCATCAGGCTGACCGCTTTTCTTCTTATTATTTGGCTGCCTTGCTGCCCAGTTAGTATAACTGCATTCTTGAAGTGGTTCGCCATTTGACCATACGTAGTCGCCCTCCTGATCGATATCATTTAAAGCGATCCAAAAGCCACCTAACCCGTCTTCTAAATTATTATTTTTAATCGCTTGTCGTAACATCTTATCCGTCTGTTTGTCGAATACGTCAGCCAGAGTTCCGCCGTCTTCTCCGCACGTTGTCTGTGCGTCCCCCCACGACATTTTAGTTTTAAAAATCTTGTATTCTTGGCAGTCGCATAGTAAGCTGTCTCCTGCGAATCGAAAAAAAAGAGCAAGTAAAAACAATTATCACCAAGTGACAGTAAATGTATGTCGACATTATATAATAGTAATAAATAGAAATCAAGAAATTGAAAAAACACACAACCAAGATCTAAGATATGTGTTGTTATAAGAGTAAGCACACCCTGCCTTGACTCCCAACCTAATGGCTGATTGTTGAAACTATGATCATTTCAAATCAAATTTCAGCTATGGTATAAGGTTGTTTGATCTGCATTTTAGTTGAAGATATCATTATATTTATTTTTAGAAATCGAATACATCGTTAAATTTCAATGTTAAAGTGTAATGATGTAAAAAACTAATGTGTGATATGTTATAATCGATTTCTATTTTCATTGAGACGAAAAATTTTGTTCCTAATTATGTTATCCAAATTCCATAAAATGTTTCTCTCTTAATCAAAGATAATCAAGTGTAAATTATAATGCCATTTTTGATGTAAATATGAAAGATTAGTACGATCTATATTTTATCAAGAATACGGTTTATTTAAAAAAATAAACTTATCAAAATGGCTAAATTCAAAGAGCTTTGCAAGCTAGATCACAGTTACAATAGCAGGAACATAAAGAAATGTGCTATCTAATAAGTGGATGAGTGTACCTGGACTCCGCTTCTGTACTCCAAGTAAATCTAAATCACGTGATAAAATGTCGACATTCAACGACGAAGCCTGCCAATAAATATATATAATGTTAACAAATTAAATGGCGTTTTTATTGCGTAATTGTAAACAGCACAGTTATTTCAAATCTTTGATGTCTGGATATATTTTACGTGCTCTATATAAATAATGATTTAGGTCTAACGTATTCTCAAATTTACTCATAGAACAGTCACACTATAACACATAGATTTTTAAAAGTAGAAATGTAAACTGTATCATTACAGGTTGTCAATGTCTAAAATTTCGACGTGTATGCTATGGACTACTGGTGGGAGTCGTTTCAGACACGTTCAATAACAAATGATGTTTTGTAGTTGAGAAAAAAATATACGAAATTTTGAAAGTTTGATCCACAAAACATTCAAGTCACTGAAAGCCCGGATGCTGTCATTACTATATAATACCACAGTCCCGGCGGCACCGCCCCCCGAAAAAATGCGCGATCATTTGCGCCTAGGGATGGTGAGCAGATCTCGCCCTCACGCAAAATCTCGTGTCGCTACCTATGTATTGCGTGCTATGTGACTGCTTGGCTACATACCAATACTCACCTCACTGGAGGAAACAATGCACAGCGTGATGACGATCAGAATAGTGTTATACATGATGATGTGATCTATAGTCAAACATTACAAAATGAAAAATATAAGTAAGTGTATGACCTCATTTCAAACATGGAAGGTATGTAAAACTTAAAACATAACCTCGCATTACACAGATAACGCAAAAGTTTAGCTAATATAAAAAAATAACTTGTTATTAACATATTCTGTGTTTGTTTTTAATATAATAGGAATAACCCAACAGGCGGAGTATACTATCCATATTTTCAAGATAATTTCCATGACAACAGTTAGTGTCATTTAGACCAATCATAATACCAGGCAAAGAACACGTAACCATGGTTGGAAATGTATACTAATTGACTTGCTTGGTTTCTATTATAACCATGAAATGCATTCCATGACAAATTAATCATTTAACAAAGAACACAGACGGGAGGGTGGTGTTGCGTTGCATTGTCCTCGTCATATTTACCAAATCAACGAATAGTATCTATAGTTAAATGTTGAATGTGCCTTGTTCTAAAATGGTACCTACAGAAGTGATGCTACTGCATGTACATACATACATACGCACGCCACGATTGTCGTGGTTGCTATAGTAATCAAAATTCAATCATTGTTGCAATTATTTTGTTATTGTGACATCCAAATTGAAGTATATTTTCTTCCGTCAGTGTCACAATAGACATTATAGTGTGAGCAGAAGGTGTGTGCAATTCCGTCATAAATGTCAGTACACATTCAAATGACGTCAGTGACCGATATTCTTATCCATATAGAATATTGGCAGGGCTAAATATCGGATTCAAATTAAAATCTGTAATTGTGTCATTAATTTTAACAAATAAATCTATATTACATACAAGGCAGATTAACAATTGACAACTATAACGTTGTAAAAAGTACCGCCTGTATAACTGCGTGTCCTAAAAACGGGATAATAAAAGTCAAATGCCTTCGATTCCCCGGGCGGGTCATCTAATCAAACAAATCATTATACCATCTCACGTCCGCCTTAAACAACTAATAAGTGTACTGAATTTGCGAGTATATACATATACCAAAAAGAAATTACACCACAAGGTAACATGGAGTATAAAATTGAGGAAACATTCACATTTCCGAAAGTCGAAGTTGATAATTGTAGTAATTATTCAATAAAAATGTTCGAGCAATGAACACACTATTAAACGACCATTGCCTAAAACGTCTGGTTATATTAAATAATTACCAAAGAATATGATTACCAACTATATTATTACATATTATATTTACCAGTCACGGGTCTCACAATTTTTCAACTATTTAAATATATGCGCGTGCTTATGAATTGCATTGCCACTTATGATGCGTGTATACTATTATGGGATCACTCAAGTTTAATATTTGCTGTATATTCATCAATAATGTCCAATGAACTATGTATTAAAATATCGTGTTTGTCAGTTGTATATCATAAAATCATCTATTTTTAACAAAATCAAATGCCAGTCACTGAGCGCGACTACACGATGGGGGGGGGGGGGACACCAACATATCTACTATAGACAAGGCTGCTAATTAACGATGAATGTTATTCAGTAAATTTACGCCTTATTTTCCTTAAAAGTACTACAACTGTGTTGAAAATTTTTCCAGAGAAAAGGCATTCTGACGAGGCACGATGTATACACGATTTGTGTGTATTATATGAACCCGTCTATAGGCCTTTGGGTATACATCACTGCGCTTACATGTGTTCTTTGGTAATTATTGTTGATAACATAAACCGAAAAATCAAGGGATTTTGTCTTTAGAAAGTACCCCAAGCATTCAATACAGATCTTATTTGGGGCGCACATTCAATCTTGTGCGCTTGTAGATTTTATCTCCATCATGTACACGGAAGCGTGCTTTGATGAGGTGTGAAACTGAAACTCAATTACAAGGTTAACGTTATAGCCCATTGCCCTTTTGGATATAACGACGAGAGCTGTGATTATGTTTACTACTGTATATATTTGTTGACTGGCACAGCAATATGTTTCCTACAAAGCCTATATCAGCCATGTCACTATATGTACCTGTTGAATGCATCGCATTGGCGTTATACAAGAGTGCAATTCTAGTTAAATAAATCACACGACTTAATTATGCAGTACGTGCTTATTGTGTCTAGAACGAGTGGATTCAATTACCAACATCGCGACTGCCTGTCACGAACGCATTTAATTGTTACCTTGTGTGTAATGAAACAAACTCGATAAGATTACATCACAAGTTATTTTAACGAGTGGCGGTAATAGTGCCACAATCAGTGGATAGGTTCTAAGTACTCTCGTATCGCTATCGCTATTTTTCATAAAGTGTCGTCGTGGAATCTAGTAATTGCTCGCTACCGTGACACAGCGTATTCTTGTTTAATGACTGAATGAAGTGAGACTTACCCTGTGATACAAGTCACCAAATTCCAACCAGTTAATACGAGACTCTTGAGTGTAATGGAAGATCGCCCAGCAGTACGAAGGGTAGTGTTACACACTCAGTGATATGCGTTTAAATATAGAATGACCTCCCTAGTTAAGGAAGCGGCACCAGAATTCAGGTTTGCATCTACTGAGCATATTACTGAGCACATGCGCAATGTATTATGGGAGTGAAACTTTACATTGAAACTCGTGAAGGTAATAGACAATTGTTTTGAAAATTTGGAACAATATTATGATTTAGTTCTTCCTTTTGTCAGCTAATGTTACCTAGCAACATTTCAAGATATAATGATATATTATTTTTTATCGAGACTAATGCAATAAATACATTCTGGATATTGTTTCTCAAAAACTATTTTCACATTCTCTTCACGTATTTTTCTGTATCTTACAGAACATGTGGATAGAAAGTCATTCATATCTCAACTTGTTCAGACCCTCCTTATAAACTGAGATATTATATTATGGTGAAAAGCGTAGTGATATCGTCAGCGCGCATCATCGGTTCAGTCTCGTCACCTTATACTTATTTTCAATAGAAGGCGATTTCTATTGTTTCCGGATGTACCAATCATAACCATTGTCGTCAAATAATTAATCTAGCGGTCCGTGTGATTATATACCACGCAAATAGAAGTGACTACCATACGGCCGGGCGTATACACGCAGTTCCGCACTTTGTCCCCTTTTCGACGTCATTTTATTTTAATTTGAGACATATGTTATGCGTTCTGGTAAATTGCGGCTACAACAAAGATCTAGAATCGTGATTTTGACATAAAAAGTGAGTTAGAACAAAGCTGTTAGGAAGCTGTATGTGAAATAAAAGGACACCGGCTGGAGAAGGTTTTAAGAGAGAATGAGGAGAGAAAAACCGCAAGACAAAAATAACAACTTGCTATCATAGTAAGCGTTTTATCGCATAGAAACACGTGTGAAATGTATTTCCACTGCGCTGACATACTGAACTCCTTTGCGATATTTACAACGAAGATGTTACATATACAAACAATGAAACGTCGATAGATTTTATCTTGTTGTTGTACATAACAAGACAAGGAATCTAGCCAGAGGATTGCAATAATAAATATTAATCGTTAAATTAAATGCTTTTATATATTAGCATAAACCATATAACCCGATGTCATGCGTGGAAACATCCGTACTCAAAACAATAGGTTTAGTTGCAAAATACAATGTAGATGCCATTGTCACCACGAACACAACAATTTTACATTTAAGAGAGATGAATAATAATATTTTACCATATATATGTGTACGATTTTGCTTCATGCTGAACTGAATAAGTATTTGGATTGCTTTTGTACTGTCTTCCCAATTGAAATTTCTCTGCTTTGAGATGATTGGTCAATGTCAGTTCAATTCCACTGACATCGCATGCACCAACATCATAGAATCCAATTTCCGAAAGCTAATAAATTCTTACAATTTGGAAGTTGACGTAAAAATACTGAGGTGACGTGTGAAGAGTTTTAATACATATTTGAATGAATGTGAGTGATATTGAGCACTCAATCGTTGAAATGTCAAGATCACGCTCTCCATTTTGGTACCAAAGAGATGTCAGATTTCACCTGCTGGAAATGCATCAGCACCACTCTTAGACCAAAGCATACAAACGAAATAATAGACTCATTTACAATATACAAAAACAGCCCTCAAAATTATGAAAACGATTTTACTTATGGAATTAAAGTTAAATGTAGTGAAAAATTGATTTTTTTAAACGCCCCTAGTATCATATATCCCGTCGCCATAGAGATATCTATTTAAGGCGAGAATCACGCCTTAGTTGTTGAGTGTCATCAATTTAATGTGATGTGGTATACTGGAAACGTCTTTAATCAAGGCGAGTAGTGATGGAATGTTTCGTTTCATTACAGGGAATCATGTTGGTTTTTGAAGTAATATATGTTATATCTGTTTATTTTGTTTATTTGATTAATAAAATACAAGACGTGCGTATATTCATAGAATCAATCGGTGGATTCTATTAGTGAGATATAGAAAACACATTTATAAATATAGGCTTGTTCATGTAATATACAGCGTGTACTTTGGTAATTACTGTTGATATACAGCATCATTTTTTTTTAAATGAAACTGAACGCGTCGAACAACACCAGTAAAAGTAAAAAGAAATACGTAATATTACAAGCCGGTAGGCTGGTTGGCGATCCGCGCCGCTCAAAAAAGCAAACAACATGTTTTTCGGCTGTTGCCATGGTAGGATATGGACGTGAAGCTAACGTTAGTTAACAACTAAAACCGGGACCCGTATGCGAAGTTCGCAAAGAGCATTCAGTCTTTAGAAGTCACTTTACTTCATTACTAGGACATGTTTTGTTGTTTTAATTATTATTACCGACCGATTGTATTTTCAAGATTCTTTTATAGTTCATTCAAAGTTCAAAGTTGCGTTATAGCCCATTGCCCTTTCGGATATAACGACGAGTGCTGTGATTATGTTTACTACTACTGTATATATACTTTCTATGACTTACATTGTTACATTGAGGTCTCCCGTCTGCGTGAAACGTAGCCAAAATAAAAAGCTTGATCATTTGAGCACTCTGACTGCTATTACAATACTGGTAGGAGGTAGTAAATTTGGCGCGAAAGTATAACCAAATATGAACGAAATCGACCCAAACAGACAGACACACCCACACAAAAGCGATGTTAAGGGGAATCCTAGCGGAGCGGATCACCAACAAAACGTTATTAGTGCTTATGTTAACCCGTAGTTAAACAGTCGACGGGGAGAATGCTATATTTGAGATTGCATGTCTTAGAAAATATGAAAACATCTTAGTTAGTCAACGTTTATAAGTTTAACGATATACCCGAACATGGTGAGTATAGCTTGACATCAATTTATATTCTGAAATGTACGACGATAGTTGCTAGGTTTCTGTCTCCCGATTGCCAAGTGGATGGATCTATTTTTTTGACTCGTAAAAAGAATCGGTGTTGGACACTGGTACTACTTTCTTTCATAATTGAGGCAAAAAAATGTGATGAAAGTAAAATAAATAGCTAAGGAAAACACGTGTAATTAAGCCACCTCATGATTTTTGTCAGTGATGTACGTCTGTATTTTAAACATCAAGTTGTGTCTAACACTAGCTAAGGGTTCACCGTTTACTGTCTTCCATTGTTATAAATATTTAGAAAACTCGACTTAATATGAGGTTATTACGAGAATACATGAAAGTATACACGAAGACAGTACAGCTGGAGTATCCACCGACGCGCAGTGGAGGACGATGCGCGGCGTACTGTCTGAGTGCATACTTTGAGGTATTTTCGTAATAACCTTATTATTATACATCTTTCACTTCTAAGGATGCATCATGGAAATGCCGAAATCCAAAAAAAATTAGAAGAGAATCAGCGAACTTCTTTGTGTTGAGTCCGGTCAAACCCCTATGACAGCCATGTTTGTTTTTATTTTTAGAGGATGCTTACGCGCGTAATCATTCCATATTTGGTATTCGCATTTCCTTATATGGTAGGATGAAATACCCTGAAAAAAAACGCAAAATTACGGCACGTTGTAACTTATGGCGTTACGGTGACAGATGTATAATAATATTAGATATACTGACCTATCAAATATTGCCACATACTTTAGCAGCATATTAAATTAGGTTATGGTATTATCTATATTAAAGTGAACATGGTGGAAATCACACCTAGCATTAAACATGTATTTTATCGTACACTTGGGTTCTTTTGCAAACAATATATTACTTCTGTTTTGCATCGTGTTGGCATAGTAACCGTAATACATTTACGCGTGTATAAGCATCCTTCGAATGTGCTCATGTACTTAATTACTTTGGTTTTCTACATAATACTTCGTTCAACCAACAACCACGCGTGACCTGTGTAGTATTATAGGTCTACCATATGCTCAGTATGAGCCACGTTTTGAAAATTTTCTGTTTTTTTGTGATTACTTTTAATCCAGCGGAGGTCAATGTAGTCCAGATCAAGTGGCCAAATGTTTTTGATATCAAACTAAGAAAATTCGTACTGCGTTGCGTGTTCATAGTGTGCTAATGGAACGGCTATAAATTGATGATTCAATGACTACTATTGCTAATGCAGTGACTAAGATACGTAGTGTTATATTAACGGCTGAGATACGAAATGTGTTTTAATTGCTGGGTTACATAGCAGTAATTCAATGGTTAAAATCCAGAATGTTAATTTAATGGCCAAGAATACTATATTACATTATGTTGTGTTTTAAATAAAGTTTGTGCCAGGCAACATTCAATTCAAATGTTTATAATTTTATAATTGTAAATATTTATAAATATTCATAACTCTATGACATTATATTACAAAAATAGAGGTCTTATTGTTCAACATTGACTATTGTACTAAAATACTAATATTCCAATGTTATGGCAATCCTATTTTAAAGTCATAATACGAATAACAGATATTTATACCACTTCAGTGATTTTTGGTTTCAAGTGTGAAAACAGGCTGGAGACATTGATATATTTATAACATATACATGTATAGATGAATAGGCAGATAACTTTTCATGAACACGCATCAGACTACCATCTGCCTGACTGTATTCATTCTGCTGTCAAGTTCAATGTTCAGCATTTTATTCAGTGATGTGATGGATATAGGGTCTGCCAATTTTGTCAGTGAAGTAGCAATATCAAAATATTGATGTTTTCATGGGGTTTATCTAGAATAGCACGTTTTACCAAGAACACACCAATAATATCTCGTTTGTGTGCCCCCAGCCACTTTATATGAATGGTGGTTTAACGCAATAGACAATGTGTGTTTATTCGAGCGATTTAAGCAACCACAGACTTCCTGAACGCAGGTGCATTCATATGTTATGGTGCACACGTTTTTTGCCCTGTTATAATTAGTGCAATCTTTTTGAACTACCAGTGGGAAGATTGTGTATTTCTATACAATATTAGCTTTGCCAATATGCCAATATGCCAACATTTCCAGTGCAAGGGGTAGCTGCTCAAAACATTGGTTGATTGCTGAACATATACATAGAATAATCAGGTGTATCATTTGTAACATT